GTATGAATTATATATATTCTATATTCTGCACCAAGGTTATCAAAATCAACATCTTCAATGCAAATTTCCACAAGCTGATCTCTTTGAACAAATGCATCTTTTCAAAGGATTAGGAACTTGGGGTGGGGGCAAAATCAGTGTGAAATAGAAGATGGAAAGTGTATGAAAAAGAGGTTGTGCATGGTTGTGCAGGGGAGACACGGAAGAAAATAAAGACAGCTCTCACTGCTCTTCTAGTTCACAAGTAAAGACTATGATCTTATCTAGTGTTCATGGCACCTGGAAAGTTTCTCTCCCAGGAAGGTATATTTTGCCATCATCCAACAAGGATTACCAGTTTAACCTGAAAGACTCCTAGGGTATGTTTCCCAATTATCATGGTCCTCTTGTCCCTAGTCCATGCAGTGAACATAGCTGGGGTGAGGTGCAAGCACATGCCAAGTTTCATTTGGGAGCTTAGGCATCAGCAACTGCTCAGGCTCAAGCAGAACACGTGAAAGATGCAAGTGTTGGATACAGGACCTGAGACAGCTCCAAGTGGAGCGCAGGCTGGGTGCTAACACACAAGCAGGGCAACTAGATGTTGCTTCACCAGTTGCCTGGAGTTGGCTGAGGCTTTGAACAGGCTGCAGTTTGATCTGGACCAGGGCTGTGGAAACTTTGGCTCTTCAGATCTTGTTGGGAGCACAGTTCCCCCCAACCACATCCAGCATGTCCAATAGTCATAGATGGTGGAAACTGTAGTCCAGCAGCAACTGGAGGGTTGTAGGTTTTCCAAACCTAGCCTGGAAAGCTCAATCCATCACAGGCAGGAAAAGCCTTCTGTATGTAAGCCCAATTGTGTGGGCTTTTGTTTTTGTTTTATTCTTTTTTATTTAAAACATTGTTATGCTGCCTTCTACTAAAAAAAGCAACATTCCAGGGTAGTTCACAACAACCTAAAATGCAAATTAATTAAATCAGCACTTTAAAACAACTTTATTTTCATTTGGCACGATTTATATACTGCTTAATTAACCAAAACAAAACACCTCTAAGCAGTTTACAGCACATACAGGAACATTCAAGGCACTAAACTGAAATATTAGCCATAATACTAGTGAGCCATGAAGAAATGAGTTTTCAGCAAGAACAGGGTATGTTGAATTTTTCAGTTTCAAATTCCAAAAATGAGAGGTGCTAAAAAGTTGTAACATGGCTTGGGAATTCAAAAGATGGTAAAATTACTATAATTTAGTTTTGCCTGGTAAATAAAATGTGTGTAAAATTGCATAGAAATCATTAAAAAGAAATTAATGTTATTTTTATTTACATATTATACATATTTTATATTACCTGACACTTTCAGAAGGCAGAATTTAAATTATTTGGTTTTCCGGGAGCAGTTTATTTGCTGCTTAATCAAACATATACTTACCAAGCTAAATGTTGCCCAGTCACAAAAATAATGGCACATTTGAATCCCTCATACCCCAAAACATATTTTAAAGAACCCTCTCTGAAGAAATTTGCAAAAAATTAAGTTTCACCCCCTAAAATGACAGACCCTAATGATCTAATCTCTTTGCCCTGAAAAGCATCAGACAAATAAAAATATCATTTTAATGATGCTGTTTCTTTGCACATGTCAGCCTGAAGAACAGTTCTGTGTGACTCACAACCTTGCCCCTGACACTTCAAATGTTAGTTCATTCAAAACCAAGAAGACAATCTAATTGACAATGCACTTCTTGTTTTGTGGCACGTCTCACAGCATAGCTACTTAGGCACCAGGGAAATATAGGCAGCAATAGCTAGCCTGGATTGGTTCCATGTTCTGCCTAGCCAAGTAGCAACAACAGGAACAGCTGCTTCCGAGGAAGATACAATGCAATATGAGACGATTCCTTCCGTTTGTATCTCGGTATGTACCCGAGCCCTGAGGCTACTCGTATTTCAAGATAATAAAGCTTAGTATAACAGATCCCCAAGTGGGACGCTGTTGGAGAAGTCCAGAAAAAAAAGAAGTAATTCTGAATCCAGAGCAGGGAGGGGAAAAGCAGGGAGTCAAGTCAGTTAATGGTTCCAGGCAAGAGGATTTATAAGAAAGAGGAGCTGGAGTTTCTCAGCCAAATGGAACTTGTTAAATGCACAGACCAACAGCAAGATCATCAAGTCTTAATATTGTGCTGTCGAAGGCAGGAATAATTACCACCACTGGGAACCTCATGCCCACATAATGAAGGGCCCAGGATAACATGATCGAGGATAATTGTCATTACAAATAACTCCCCCCACCCTGTGCTTTTATATTTGCTTATACAGGGAGAAACCAGACACCCCCCCCCGCTGCCAAGCTAAGCACCCTCTTTGGGCTTGGGGTATTATGGGTGGGTGGTGCCAAATCCAACTTGGTGGGGGACTAGGGGAGCTTGTAACCAATGGCTGGGGCTTTGGGGTGGGTGGGTTGATAGATGGGCCCTCCACCAATTGCCGACAAGCATTAATTTCCCATGGGGGCTGTAGACCTTATGGTGCTTAGCAGGAGGAACATTCTGCTCATTGTCAGGCACCCCATGGCTAGAAGGCTCTGCCTAACAGCACCCGCTGTGTTAGCAATTGGAAGGCACCTGAGGGGATGCATCCACCTTGGGATGTAGGGAGGGGCTGGGAGCCAGCCAGAGATGCAGCCAGCTTTAGGGCAAGATCTTAATCTGCAGAGCAAAAGAAGGGTTGAAACACCCACCCATGCCACCTCCTTAGACCCAAAGCACATGATGTCAGAAGATCACTTTGCACATGCTCAGAGGCTCCATGATCTTCAGGTATTTTCCAGTATACACCCAGATCAGTACCGGTTCTGCTGCCTGAAGCCCTTTAACTGGACCTTCTGGGGGCTGAATCAGGGATCTTTTGCACACAGAGCCCATGGCTCCAGTAACGGCCAGCCTTGGCAGAACTTTTGGATGTTCCCCAAAAAACTACCACATCCTGAAATTCTAATGGAGGCTCTAAAGATCGTAGCTGTAAGTTTCCCTGACCTATTGAGGCTCGAGGCTCAGCTTCTAGAGGAAGTGGAAGTAATAAAGAGAGCCTCATCAAAGCAGGTGTCATCAGGAAAGGGCAGGCCCTAATGAGCTCCCTGTGGACACAGCTCACTGGGATATGGAGGATGTTGTCTCAGCCAAGAGCTGATGGTGTCAAGGCTTGATATTGGCTGAAAAGGCCTCTACTGCAGTTGGCCCTGTGTCCTTGAGGGGCTGACTGTGCTGACTTAAAGGGCGCTTGTCTAATTCTGCTGGCACTGATTTCTACCCTGGGGGCTTGTCTGAGGAAGTGAGGGAGCTCAGTCCTTACAAGGGAAAAGTCCAGGGAGAGAGTCTACCTGTCGTATTTCCTCTCTCCCTGTATTTTCCTCAGGGCAGTGCAAGGAGCCTGGGTTGGGGATCAAGACATAATTGAGCTATCGCTCACACCTTTCAGCATCATCGAAAGGTAGATGTTTTCATTGCCTGCATATATAGTTCAGTTTAATCAGTTAATTGACCAATTAGCCAGTTAAAAGAAAGTGCATTTTTGCTGCTACCACACACAAGGTTGAAATCGTCATCGAGCTATCTACTATGGCCTTAAGGTCTCATTCATGGTCAGTCACCTCAAGTTCAGACCCCCTAAGTGTATATATTAGGGTTGCCATATTTCAAACAGTGAAAATCAGGACAGAAAAGTTTTTATTCCACCCAAAGTTGTTGAGCTTTTTGGGCAAAATCACTTAAAAATTCTATTTTGAGCTATTTTTATGGAAAAATGGCAAAAAACCAGCACTGCCGACACGGGCTACGTATGGCAACCCAGACATATGGCAACCCTATATGAAATAATACATGTATCACTTTACATTTGTTTACACTGAATTGCATTTGCAATTTTATCACACATATTTCTGTATGCAATTTAAAATACACAATTTTGCAAACAATTTCCCTAACTTAAAGCTTTTTTATATGTTATTTTCACTCTTATATGCATATGTCTGCCTTTACCCTGGCCATCTGCATTTTTTTGTACACATTACTCAGCTGGAGAACTGCATTGCAAAATTCAGAGAAGTGTGAATTCTGAAAGCTGGCTAGGTTTCAGCTTGTGTATTGTTTTGGAAAGTGCAAATGAGGTATGTTTGCCTTTAAATGCAACCTGAATTTAATTTCTTCCCCATCCCTAGTACCTAGGAACAGGCTTGAAATAAGAAAACACCATCACCCCTTCAACACGGTTCCCTTTTTTTTTTAAAGAGAAACTTGGTTCCTTTTTTTTAAAAAGGGAAACTCTACCAACAGACACAGGGGATCAGTGATAACAAAGGCTCCAAAGGAAAATTAGTGAGTTTCTAAATTCGTTTGAGGGGGGCAAATGTTTTCCTTTTCTCCCCACCCACCTATTCACAGCATACACGTATGGGGAGGGAGCTGGTAGCTGGTTTGAGTGTATTATCCACAGGACAGAGGCTCCAAGATTGAAATGCAATGGAGCGTTCAAGAAAAAGATGGCCTGAAAAGTAATACTGCGTTGTCCAAGTTGTCTGACAGCAGAGCCGGACTGGCATTCATTTCCGAGCAATTCAAGGGGAGACTGAAATGTAAGTTGTAACAGACTGAAAAGTTGTCTTTGAGGAAGGAGATGGCTGACCACATGAAAAGCCACACTTAAGGTATCATAAATAGATATGCGTGGTTGAAAGCACTTACAGAATCCCCGAGTAGACCAGCATAGTGTTCGGAAGCTGCCTTATACTGAGTCCAGACCATTGGTCCATCTAGCTCAGGCATCCCCAACCTTTGCCCCTCCAGATGTTTTAGACTACAATTCCCATCATCCCTGACCACTTGTCTTGTTAGCTAGGGATCATGGGAGTTGTAGGCCAAAACATCTGGAGGGCCAAAGGTTGGGGATGCCTGATCTAGCTTACTATTGTCAACACCAAGTGGCTGTAGTTCTCTAGGATTACCTTTCCCAGTCCTACCTGGAGATGTCAGAGATTGAACCTGGGACCTTCTGTATGCAAAGCAGATCCTCTTACCTCTGAGCAACAGCCCTTCAACTGAGCTATGGCACTTCCTTTCGATCATGGAAAGAAGAGGAACTAGTAATTGAAGTGTACCTGGTCCTCACCAACAGGGAGGAACAAACCAAGGAAATGGAAGTCCTGGGAAACTTGAGAGGAAGTGATAATGTCCTCTTGGGTTTCATGATACAGAGGGTAGGGCCCAAACCAATGGCTTCAAGTTACAAGAGATTCCAACTAAACGTCAGGGATAACTATCTGATAGTAAGAGCTGTTCACCAGTGGAATGGACTCCCTTGGGAGGTAGACTCTCTTTCCTTGGAGGGTTTTTAACGCAGAGGTTGAATGGCTATCTGTCATAGAAGCCTTAGTTGAGATTCCTGCATAGCAGGGGGTTGGACTAGATGACCCCCAGGAACCTTTCCAGCTCTACAGTTCTATGATTCTATGTCATAGATTTTCCTACTTATTAAAAAAAGACGCCTAAGGAGATTTGCAACAATAAAATACAGCCACTCAATCGAGAAGCCATAGAATCAAAATAATCACAATGTTACAACCTCATTAAAATCCCATATTTAAATCCAGTAAACCATTCTCCGTAGAAATTAGGATAATAAAGCCTTACTAAAAGCATCTCGCAGAAAAACAGATCTGCAGATGCCTTTCAAAATGAAACACCAGTTGCAGTTGTCTTCTCCAGCATTGCTCATCCTTGAGCTTCAGTCAGCTGCAGGTCACCCCTTCCAAAATAATGAGGTGACAAAATACAAAAAGATTCTGCCTTGCCTGTCTCCCAAAAACTTTAACCATGAGCTAAATCTGAACATATCACTTTCCATTGGGCTCCTGTTGTCCACTTTCTTTCTTTTTTTATAATAATTTTTATTGAGTTTTACATGCTTATCATAGTAACAACATATTAAATAACAAAAAAGAAATACAATCTCCCAATTTTCCCCTCCCTTCCCGACTTCCCTCAACTTCCTCTTCCGGTTTTTTACATATTAACTTCTCCTGCTTGCTTTATTGTATCTTAATGTTCAATTCCTTTATATTAAATATTGTTATGCTCTTATCATTTTAACATCCTCTTGTAATTTCTATCTTTATTTTGTTAATTGTAAGTGTTTACTCAAACCCTGCTAGTGAGTCCATTTCTTTACATTGTTTCTGTAGATACAACATAAATGGTTCCCAATCTTTTTTAAAGTCTCTACTGTCTTTTTCTCTAAGCCTTTCTGTTAGCTTCGCCATTTTAGCATTTTCCATCAACTTTTCTTGCCATTCTTCTTTAGTTGGTATTTCGTCGCTTTTCCATCTTTGGGCTAGCAGTATCCTAGCTGTAGTTGTAGCATACATAAAAAGCTTCTTCTCTCTCTTTTGGCAAGTCTTGACCTGAAATGTCTAAAAAAAAAGCTGGTCTCCTGTTGTCCACTTTCAATGGTTAGGAAATTTCCTCTAGTTTGCACAAGGATGATGCCAATTTTTCAAGTATGTCGCCATTTTGTTTGATGTTATGGTAATAACAGCAAAATAGCTCTCTCCTCTCTTCTAAAATGATACTGCCAGAAGCCTCCCTGAATTATGGTAACACATATACAGATGTATTTATTTCAACCATCTATATACCGGCTTAACATCGTAGTCTGAAAATGGTAGTCTCTAAGTGGTGTTCATTATCCTGCAATGGAATAAACTGGCCACTGTATTCTGTGCATTGGTAATCTCAAGATTGGACTACTGCAATGTGCTCTCTATGTGGCTTCCCGCGGGCCTGGGATGGAAGCTCCAACTAGCGCAGAATCCAGCCGCCAGACTGCTGATGGAAGAAGGTGGCTGACAGCATGCAACACCTTTGCTAAAACATCTGCACTGACTGCTCATCTGCTACGGAGCCAGATTCAAGGCTGTTGTGTTGATATACAAAGACATGGACAACGTGGGCCCAGGATACCTCAAGGATCTCCTGAGCCCTTCTCCACCCCCAGCCTGATCCCTGAGATCATCCGAAGGAGCACTGTTTGTCGTTCTCTGTGTTGCAGAGGCCGACTGGCTTCAGTGAGAATTCAGGCATTAAATGTCACCTGTGGAATACTCTCCTGGCAGAGATTCAGCTAGCTAACCTTCAGACATCTCATGCTGATAGGCCAATGCCAGTTCCACTTTCTTGATTAGCCAGTCATTCAAATGATTATCTTGCATTGTTTTTATGGTGTTTGGGGTTTTATTGTGCTCTTATATATTACCATTAGTAACTTAAATGAGCAGGCAGTAAACAAATATTTTTTATAAATAAATAAGGTTAATAAAGATACAGCAGAGATAAAATCAGTTTAAATCAACTATAAATAAAAAATGCCTGCTGGAACTGGTATATGCAGGTCATTCCAGTGTACAGTTCTGGGTTCTGTAGGCAATAATTTCACCCTAAGCCATCATTTTACATGTGGCTTTATCTCCCACTCCAGCCACTATTTTGAACCTAGCTCTGAATGCTGTCCTGGCCTCCTGTAAATGTTGGCCCACAGCCCCACTCCTGCGTCAGAATAGTTCCAGGTGAGCATTGGGTCTTTCTTTGAGCAACATCCTGATTCTGGCTCTCTATCCAATCACTTGTCCCTGCTTTATCTGCTCCTCTCATCACTCTTGTAATCTTCCTTCCCAGTCTTGTCCACCCTCCTGCAAGATCTGCCAAAACATTTCTCCCTTTAATAGAAATAACAGGGAAATATTGACATCCTTAGAGGTACCCTGAAGTTTGCTGAAGTATGGATTTTTTATTTTTATTTTTTATAAAGTAATAATAATAAGAACAACAACAACAACATTTATTTATTTATTTATTTATTTATACCACGCCCATCTGGCTGGGTTTCCCCAGCCACTCTGGGCGGCTTCCAACAGAACACTAAAATACAATAACCTATTAACCTATTAATTAGTGGTCTCCAGATGTTGTTGGACTACAGCTCCCATCGTTCCTGAGAACTGCAAATGCTAATGTTGATAGTGCAACCTCTGGAGGACATCAGGTTGGTTACCATTGCTTATGTTACCCTAGAGGAGGGCAAGGCTGACTGGCAGGAATCCTGAACAGGAGCACTTCTGCTTGGAAATAAATATACACTGCAATATTTTGTTGCAGCAGGTATTACTTGCTCCCTCGAAGCTCCAGTCCTCTTATAGCAGATCTGGGTATTTAACATTTTGAACCAGCATTATCAGCCTCTTGACTTGACCCTTTGTGAGATGACATTTGTTGCTCAGTATCTCCAGGACAGCTCAGTGGGATTCTGATGTCCCATGATTAAGGTCAACTGGGAAACACAGAACAGGGATCGGAAATCTCAGGATCAGGGTCCAAATGTGGCCCTCCAGGCCTCTCTGTCTGGCCCCTGAGGCTTTCACCAGGCCACACACCTTCCTGAGCCACAACCCTCACCTGCCCTGCTTTGCACCCTTCCTTGAGTGTTCCTTGTCTGGCTGGAATGTGTCCCTCAGCTCTCAATGCTTCTTGCTTGCATGACTGGATGTGAGACTGTAGAAACTAGCCCAGTGTATGTGGGTAAAATTTACATTTTGTTGGTCTTCCCACTTTTGCCTCTAGCTCTGCCCCCTTGAGAGCCTGTGTGGTGTAGTGGTTAAGAGCGGTAGTCTCGTAATCTGGGAAACCTGGGTTCGCGTCTCCACTCCTCCACATGCAGCTGCTGGGTGACCTTGGGCTAGTCACACTTCTCTGAAGTCTCTCAGCCCCACTCACTTCACAGAGTGTTTGTTGTGGGGGAGGAAGGGAACGGAGAATGTTAGCCGCTTTGAAACTCCTGAAGGGGAGTGAAAGGCGGGATATCAAATCCAAACTCTTCTTCTTCTTTTTTTGTCTGTGGCTCCTAGCAGGTTGTCCAGAATGGAATGTGGCTCTTGGGCAGAAACAGGTTGCCCACCCCTGATTTAGTGCACCACTGTCATCGTCAGAGGAAGGAAGGAAGGAAGGAAGGAAGGAAGGAAGGAAAGAAAGAAAGAAAGAAAGAAAGAAAGAAAGAAAGAAAGAAAGGGTTTCTAACTCACCAGCTAGTTCCTAAAGATCAGTTCCTTTCATATCCCCAGGAAACCCGATATCCTTAACCAGGAAGATCCTTTTCTTCCCCAGCGACAAGGAAGCAGTTCTGGAAATGAAAAAAGGCAAGTGGTGAGACTTCTGGGGAAACAAGGCAAGTAGGGATGAGGTGGAAGCCATTTTAAATGGATTTATCCATGGTATGTGGACTTAGGATTGGACCACCTCTTGAACTGGGTGCCCACTTATGTCCAAGCTGTTTGTCCATTGTAAAGTTTTTTTTTAACCTCCCCCAACTAATTATATACAAAAAATACATATATGTATAACACACAGAAAAGATTCAAGCCCCATGTGGCACTATATTTCTGCGGCATAATTTTAGAATGCAGAAGTCTTTTCATAGAGCTATACGATGTACACCACCTTGACATATTTTAGGAGCTGATGGTTTGTAAATATTCCCATAAAGAAATAGAAAAATAAATACACATATAGTCCAACCACCTGCTGTGCAGGAATCTCTTTTTATTGATTTGCGTATTTTTTATTTTATTGAAATTTTTCAGTGGACAAAGAAAGTGAAAGAAATGAAAAACAGAAACAGGATGTCCTTGGCGTGTATGAACTGAGCTGGGTGACGGATCCATAAAAAGTTGCTTGGAGGGGCCTGATCTGGCTGGCACACAGGGCCCTGCATCCCATTCTGCCTTCACAAAAGCCCTATTAGGTAGGTTAGACTGAAAGGAGTGAGGGTGTGACCCAAGGTCACCCAGCAGGTTTTGTGGTCAAGGAGAGATGTGAACCTGGGTCCAAGTTTGTCATCCGAACCACTACACCAAACTGGATCTCTCCTCACTTGCTGATGACTTGAGCATGATCTCCTGACCACCTTGCCAGTTGCCAGCTGTCCCGCACCCCGTGGCACAAAGCATACACAGAAGTGGTTGGTTGATTTCAGTGGCGCCTCCC